CTCTCTCTCTCTCTCTCTCTCTCTCTCTCTCTCTCTCTCTCTGTGTGCACGAGACCAGTGTGTTTGTGTGTCTGTCCAGATAAGAGCCTGACAGGCTTAAAAGACTGTCTTACCTACTGACCTTGCTGAAGGAAGTGAATGAAAGGCTTTGGTTCAGTTAATCTGCTGGCTTAACCAGATGTATTCATTCTTACTAAGCACATTCAGTCTCTGAAGTGTACAATCTGTTTCAGTTCCTCTATATATTGTGACTTTATTGATCTTATTCCCATCACAAACTCTTGTTTGGTAGGTTAAAGATGATGYAAACTCATTTAGCACCTTATTTATAAGAATAATATTTATACAGGTGTAGAGTCAGCACATAAAATCCTGCAGATACATGTCAGCATCCTCCAGGTAACAACTGTAAAAATATATGAAGAATTTGAAAGCTAGAAGTGTTTCTAGTAACACAAAGGATGCAGAGATATTACATAAGTGTTTCTTTAATTTATTGTAGAATAACAATATTTTCATAATAATTCCCCTAATTTTTTCATGTTTTATTGTATATTTATGACCAAACTGATTCTTTGACATGTCATCAGTTATGTAAGGGCAACATAAAGCATGAACAGTGCTTCTGATGCAATACTGTGAAGGCYCATTGGCATGGTTTACTGAAGCAGCTGTATCAGTAACACATGTGCTTCTCCTGCTATGACAAGAACAACTRTTGAAATGAATGAAAACCAACTGTGCAAACAGAGTTGAATGTATTATTTTTTACCTGAAAGGGGAAAGAAAATATATATATATATTTAAGGAAACAAGTCTAATGCAATATTTAGAGAAACTTGAAGCAAACCCAGAACATATTAAGGGAATTGTCTGTATCATGAGACTTGGGAATATCTCAGGGGCTTCCAGGAGGAGCTGGAATTACCAGCTGGGTTCCAATGAATCAGCTGCAAAACAACTGAATGATCTATTGCACAAGTACTTTCATTGTGTCACCTGTAGCATTAGGATCTTGCACCTGGATGTTTCGCTRTGACTAAAAAGACACCCTTGATTTTGCAGTTTGGATTTAAGGCCTAATCATTTTTTATTATTGCAGTTGTCTTGTCCTAGGAATTAGGTTGTTTGCACATGTATTTTATAAAATAAATACAGGTTACTATGGCTGTGTGTGTTAACACAAGGTTTTGCATGTCGGCATGTTCATGCATGCTCTGTTAAATCACTGCAGGCAAATCTGTTCCTAGTTTTTCCTCATTCTTTTTCTCTGCTGTGCTCCCATTCTCAAAGTCTCTATTTTGAGATGCACATGTCTGCTTCAACCAAGCACGTGCTGATTCTGTCAGATTTAGTCCCAGACTTGGTGGATCGTAGCTGAACACTMACCCTCTAATTTAAAACCTTAATAATAAAATCTGAGGGAATTGAGCTGTGTCCCTGCAAGGCTTCTCTGGCACAGTTGGATTGCTGCTGGCATGGTTTTTAAGTTTAATTTGGTTTCTAGCTCTTTCATAGTTTCTATCAGAMAATGCACATTTTTATCTTTTGCCTAAACAGTGACCTTTGCCCTTATTCTAGGTTTAAATTAGGCATAAAAAAAGAGCATTATCTTCTCCAACATTATAATGTTGAGCAAACAGAACTTTTTTCACATCTGTCTGTCTGACAGTTATTTTATTCCCCTTTTATGTCTGCATGTTCCCCAGATGCCCCATTTTACACTTTGTGGTTTGAGTCTCACACATCTCTGTTAGAGGTGTGTGTATATGTGTGTGTGTGTGTGTGTGTGTTTGTGTGTTGGGTGTTAGTCAGTAGGCCTGTCAGGATGTAAGGAGGCCAGCTGCTGCCCTCAGGGCTGACCGATAGCAGCAGAAACAACATGAGAGAAAAAGAGGGAGGAATGTCAAGAATCTCATGGGAATACCACTTTGACCATATTGCTGTTTGTTTTTCTGTCGCTCTCAGACCAGCCTGTCAAGATATCTATCCTGTGTCTATTTTTTTATGTCATACATTCATCCTTCATGGTGTAATCAACATTTGTTAGGTCCAGTGTGTTGTTCATCAAAGATAATGGGTTTAACTAGATTAATAAAACATGGATTGTTTTTTTTTTTATTAACAGATATTGATGTGAACAGTATCATGGTTTGCTGTGCATAATAATTTTATGATATATGCTCAACCATGTAAACTGATCTTGTCCTTCAGTGATACAGTACAGGACTGATCTGTTAATCTGGTCTTTCCTCTGCATGTATACAAATCTTGACATTTCATAGAGATTACTCTCTCTGAGTTGGTAAGGATCACACATATTTTTATGATAGAAGGTTTGGGACAAATTACTGGTACAGTGAAGAAAAATGGGACAAAGAGGCAGGGCATATAGAGAGAGTAGGAAGACAAAACATCAGGCATGAGCTGGAAGGGTCAGCCATCCATTACAACATTCAGGTCATAGTCTATTTGCAGAAAGCTGGCACTGTGCTCTTACTTCATGTGGAACCAATATTTAATTAAAGCTGAATGAGGGGAGGTTAATTGGGACAGACCTGCCCCGGAGGAGTTTAGACTCCAGCAGTGACTCGCAGCTTCCGTCACTCTGTAAGCTTTTTGACCAGAGAAACGAACTGAGTCATTTTCAGCCCACATCCCTCCACATCAGTTTAAATACTGTATTAACACCTACTGACGTTTTTGTTTCTGCAGTCACTTTGACAAAGTGAAACTTAAATTTTCTCACAGTATTGGTGTTTAAGGCCAAGCTGATGTACATAGATGTTCAACCTTTGTGCTGATATTTTAGACAGTCGGTGTTTAAACGTTGCACACACAAAATCCTAAAATATACATATATTTTTCTGATAGTTAAATTGTCTAATGTAAACCAATCTCTTTAAGTGCTGTGTCTGTCAAAATAGACCTAAAGTTCATTTCCTACTGTTTGTTTTTGCCAAGATAGTATCAGCATTGACACCATCCTTCCAAGAGTGCAAAGTTAACAGGAGGAGCAGATGTGCAAACATATATACAACTAAACTTGGAATCCAGACCTTTCTCCTTTTTTTTCTCTCTTGCATTGTTGGCAGTTTACCCAACCTTAAAGAGCAAGGCCTCACACATCTGTGCTATCTCACCATGAAATGTCCTTTGAGTATACGTGTACATGCTTGACCTCTGACTCTCAACAGTCTGTTATGTGGATGAGTTGGCCATCGTCTGTTTGAAGACGCAGTAGGAGACACAGAACGGGTCTATCACTCACACGGGAACAGAACATCATCCATAGCTGGACTTACTCAGGATGCAGACAGAGAGTTGAAGAAGGGGTAAAACCAAGAATCTGTTGAGGTTTCACACCAAGCTGTGGGGATCTGATGAAGTCCAGATGGTACGCAGACAGTAAAAGGAAACCTAGGAAAAATCCACAAAAAAATAACGAAGAGAATAAAATGTTAATATTTTCAACCTTCTTCTAACTTTTCAGAGCCATGCTTCTTTAAAATGTCCCGGTAATAAAACTACAAAGCCTCAGCTCTGTCACACTAGGCATTGTTGTTGAATCATGAGAAAACTGCTAGTCAGTATGGAATTACTTGAGCAACATGTGATCATCATTTTGACTCTGGAAAACTTCCCGTTTCTGTCACAAACTGGCAGCACTATGAATGTTTTTATAGGTGCTGAAAGCTGTCTTTGAATAAAAGAATGTTGGCTTTTTTGCAACAGATTCAAACTCAAAATTTGCTCTCACTGGATATCCTGGCTTTCAGTCATTGCTATTTTTATTTTTAAAGCTTCCTAGATTGAAATTCTTAGTGTAGTTAATTCCAAGGGGCTACTTTTTAAAATATCTTTTATAAACTTCACTTTTTTTTTTACTTTTTCAAGAAAAAAATGTAATTTTTTTAAAATAAATAATTAGCTTTTTGTCTGCTATATACTAAGAGGAGTATCTTTTAATGCTAATCAGCTGTGATGTATGTGGAAGAGTATAAAATATCACAAAAATCAATAGGTGCCAAATATACTTTTATTTTGGAATTTTTTTTTTTACTAATAAAGTCAGCCTATCATGAGAACTGAGGTTACAAAAATATTTGCAGATGGGGGTAAATAATTTCCATCACTAGAGTGGTCAGAAAATAAGTTAGTTAACTTTATGACTGACATCAGTGACTCTTACACACAGAACTTTGAATTGTTTTTAAAAGATTGTGTTGTGTTTTTTCCCTGTTTATGTGTGGGTTTGTTCATGGATGTGATGGTTTTTAAAGGCTGAGTTGGTAAAGTAGTAGTCAGTCAGAGGTCGTGCTGGGACAGACGAGCCTCCTCCCTTCCAACCCCTCCTCTAAGTTCCTTCTCATGAGACACGAGCCAGATGCTGAGCTTTTAATGGCGGCTGCCTGTGTTTGTGTGTGAGAAAGCATATATAAAATGTAAGTTTGGACTTTGTAAAGTAAATGTTTATATAGTGTTTTCTGCAGCTTCTGTGCTGCTGTCATCATCAGCATGAGAGCAACAGATGGGAGSTTTGTACAGTGAGAGCAGAAACGTTTAGATTTATAAATAAAAGAAGCATTCAGAAAGAGGGTCAGAGGAAGAGTGGTTGAAAAAAGGAGGACTGAGCTGGAGATAAAGAGGAAATGTTTTATTTCCTCTTTCTGAAGGCTTTTTCTTTTTTCTTTTTTTTTTCTTTTTTTTTTGCTGGCAGATGGACCCCTGACCTCACAGATAATGAATCTATTTTATTTTCTCTGCAGCATCCCAGTCCCTTCAGACTGACTGTGTATCACATTGTGTGTGCATGTTTTTATGTATTTTATTTATGTCTGTTAGCACAAGTTAGCATGCACATTAGAAGTTGGCAGTTAGTTGCATTTATAATTTTATGGAATAGAGATTGTAATAAAATTTTAAGTCAACTATTTGTACCCTTTGTTTTGGTCTTCAGGTGAGTCTGGTCTTGGTAAGTCGACTCTCATCAACTCTCTGTTCCTGACTGACCTGTACTCCAAGGACTACCCCGGACCCTCCCAGCGTGTAAAAAAGACCGTGCAGGTGAGCTTACTCAGCTTGCTGCYCAGATTGCTTTGGCGTTAGGCTGACTTTGACATTCATTCAGAGTTGGCTGAGCAGATGTTTCTCAGATGTCGACCTCACCCTGCCAAGATCATCTTTGTGAACTCAATGAGTCCCAGTAGTTTGGGCAGGTCACCAAGATACTCTATTACTCATCTTTTTTTTTTCTAAAATGTGGTTTTCTGCATGACTTTGATGATTAATGAATTTTTGCTCCATTATCTACATTCCAACTAGGACAATAAATACAGGTGTCAGGTGTGAGAAAACTGCAAAACAAACTCATTTATTTTAAAAAATGTGTTCTCTCCTAACTCAGTCTAAGTCTATTTTTAATTCATCTGTTTCTGTGTCTGCTGRAACCTTAAACACAACAATTTAAGTATATTTTTTTATTTGAGACACAACAGTTTCTGACAAATGAAGTGTGAGGAGGCAAAATAAGTCAATCATTTTTAACCAAAGTCAAAAAATAAATCATGTTCAACATTCAAACTGCCATTTTTATAATATATATAGTGAGAAATTTCTCCAAAGGAGACTTGACCAGTTAAATCTCAGTGGCTCAGTTAGTGTTTCCATTAGTCAATGTGTCATAGTTGTAATAAAAAAGTGTAAACATTATATATTGTAAGGACAAGTACACGTGACTTAGATAGGAATTATAAAATATTTTATAAGCAAAACAAACAATTAACCAGGTAACTCAATCAGATTAGCATCATTTTTTCATGTCTCGTGTTATCAGCATTTTTTGTTGAATAAGTTTGAATTATTCTGAGATTAAAAGGCAAAGGTAAAAGACCAAAGAAGTCAGAGGTTCTGTGGAAGAGGAAAAACTAATGTGAAAGAAGATGGAGGACCTCTGAGGGAAACAGCCACARGGTTTGGTTGTGTCCTTTTATGGTTATGACAAACTGAGGAGGAGGAMGACTGCATCTGAAGGAGAGAGGAGGAAGAGAAGCACTTTGTGAAAAGGAACAACTGAGTGGGGAAAAATGTAGGAATTTGAAGGGAAACTACCCTGAAGCTGAGGAAAACAATGAAGTCAGGAGGAAAGAGAAGCCATATGAAAAGTAGAAGGGTTGAAGGGGCGATGTGACGGGGGAGGGAAAGGATGGAACAGAGTAAAACTAGAGCCTGACTGAAACCTCTGGGAGTAAAGGGTTAGTAAGGTGACAAAGAACTCCCAAGGAAAACAAGAGATTGGGTGGGAGTCTGTGTATATTCCCTGAGGACTGAGAGGGTCAGAAGCAGGRCAGGAACAATCCCATGAAACACAACACTCTTCTACCCAGCCTTCATCATCAACTGAAACATTGACCCATCTTTAGTTGATTCATAAATCATGTAATCAATCTCTGAACTACTCACTCACACTTAATGGGGGATTTTCAGTTTGCTGCTCTCAGCTGATTTGAACTGCTTCAGTTTCTGTTGGTGAGTGATCAAACTCCGCTCSTCTGTGTGTTTGTTCAACATGAACAAGGACGGGATGTCTAGAGGACCGTTTAATCCAAATTACCAGCCCTGCATTTAGTTGGGCTTTAATTAGGTCAYGTTTTCAAATACCCATTTAGTTGCTTAGCACGTTCTGTTGAAGAAATGGTCCCAGTGAAATAGATGCACATTAAGGATTATTTTGTAGAATTAACAGGATGCTGGTTCTTTAAATACTTTCCTCCTTTGCATTTTAGCTATAATGTTACTTGTTGARCTTTACAAACTAAATTCTCCACCCTATGCTCATTACAGGGATCATGTTTTTTTGTTTGATCAAAAGCACGTAAGCAGCCTTCTTTAGGATACTTTGATTTATACAGAAATCATTTAAAAAAGTCCTGATTTGCTTGGATTTATTGATTTATTTATATTACYGCTAAAATTCATAACTTGCCATTTCATATAAATGAGCTGAGGAACATTTTTTCTATCATTAAGGGCTCGACACACGGGAGGCGATGTCGCTCGCTCTCCATTCATTTCCTATGGAGCCTGTGCGGTGAGGCGGCAATCGCTTGCCCTCCTCCAGCTAAGCGACCGGCGAAAATAGTGCATGTGAAATTTCGCGCTCGTACATGACGTGCACACGCGAGCTTGCGACGCGACAAATGAAAGTTGAAAAATGTTCAACTTTTGTTGCTGTCGCTTAGCATACAACCAATCAGCGAGAGTTTCACTGACTGACCAATGAGAGGAGAGTATGCTACACACTGCCGTTAGCTAACACTTTCACCAAGTGATTACGAAAAAGCTTTGTGGGAATTTATTGGCACCAGGGTGAAGTTTATGGTAAGTTTTTCCTCATAAAACTGTATCTTGATGTGTGTTTGTTTTTCAATATCATTAGCATCGCAAGATTTGTTTAGTTTACACGTCCGTAAGGCACACCCCCCTTCAGAGTCAAGAACCAATCAAATTTTGTGAAGACAAGCGATCTGAGAGCGCGATTCGCAACGCTGCGATCGCTATCGCGTCCCGTGTGTCGGGTTTCACCCTGGCTGCGATGACAGCCGTTAATCGCTGTAGTTTGTTGCTGCCCATGTGTCGAGCCCTTTAGTCTTGCATTTTTGTCTTACAGTTACAAAAGGAAGAGCAAATCAAAAATTAAAAGCTGTTTTTTCCAAATTTTGAAAATCGTGTTATGCCCAATTTTCCTCAGTTTTGCAAGATGTCATACTCGGAATGTGTGTTGTGTGAATGACTCTCATCTGCTACCACTCCAAATTTTAGCTCAACATTTGTAAAACTGACAGAGTACAGCCATTTTTGTGTTTGTTAATGTTGATTAGCTGTGGCAGCAGCTTTCCTGAATTAAAGTGATTTCAAAAGTTAATCAGATTAAATAATGTACATTCAGACATTACTTTTTGCAAATTTTATTAAAATGTGTCCACTGGTTATGAGATGTTTTGATAACACAGACAATAATATTATCATCTGCCTTTGGTTTTTGGCTGCAGGTGAAAACTAAATGTGGGGGGTTGTACTTCAGTGTACAATGCAATGTTACAGTTTAATTGTCTAATTAATGTTGAGCTGAATTCATTGTGTTTACATCTGAAAACCTTCAGAACCTCCATCTCCCTGCACATGCAATGAGCTCAGCATAGATTTATATGCTGTCCTGAAGGAGAAGTTGGTGTTTGCAGGCATGTTAGATATAGGTTCTGTGGTTTGAGGCAGACCAGCTTGAAGTATTTATATTTCAGAACAATTTTCTATGTTTTGTTGCTCACTCACATCCCCCTGGATCAGATTGCTTTTAAATGATGGTTTAGGGCCTGAAGGGGAATTTTTGAGGTTTTCTCCCAATCTGTTTTTCTTCACAGAAATGTTGGAAATAGCACATTTGGTTTTGAGATGGATGACATTTCACGGACAAACACTTTTTACTTGAGCACACATACTGGGCACCCAATAAAAGTCAGATTTGTCTTATGACTTTGGTATGTGACATATATACGCTTAGTAATAAAGTCAGACAGATTATCTCGAGGTTTGTGGAGACTTGGGAATGTTTGTGTTTGAGTTAAAGGGCTGTAGTTCAAGTTTAAAGGGTGATCCTAAAATAACTAGATGGCCTTGTGAAAGTATGCAACAGCGTAAAGGAACAGCAGACACGCTTCAGGAAATGATTGATTTGACTAAAAATGAAAAAGTTGTTTTCACTTTCTTTGTTTCACTTTCAAACATTTTGCAAGTTATCTTTAAAGTGCCTGTGACATCAAATTTTTGTAATGAACATGAATGCATTTTTGGCAAAAAAAGAACATTGATAACGTGTTGCAAAACAATTTTCACATTGCTGAAATTAACAGTTGTTGGGATATTTACATGTGAAGTAACAGGAAGTGATGTCAAAGGGGAATGTTTGCACGTGAACAAAGCATTGCTACGATAACTAACAACAGACTGTAGAAAATAATCTGTTTCTTTAGATTATTTTGAGTCACTATCAGAGAGATGAAAAAGAGTTAAAGTTCAAATAATATTGTTTTAAAAAGCAAAGACCAGAGAGTTTCTTTTATTAATGAGTTCCCCTTTGATGTCACTTCCTGTTTCACTTTGGCTGAGACAAATTCAAAAGAAAATAGACCAGTTATACGACAAAATGGGTAAAATCATGAGTATTATGTCGAGTTTCTTAAATATAAAGATGTTTTCTTTTAATTTTTGTATTTGAAGKATAGGCAAATTGTGTTAAATATGCTCAATAGTTTTATGAGTAGTTGTAATGGGAAAATATACCTTTTTAATGAAACTTGGTTAAAAAATTATAAAAATAATGTCCAACAGAAGTCTGTTTAACACCTGTTTGTCAAGACAAAAGTTCTAAAAATAGACCGCATATAAAAATGAAGGGCTTCCTTTAAATAATGTCAAAGTTTTTGAATCACCTCTTCCTGGCTGAAGCTGTTTGGATCATAAACTCGTTTCTGTGAGTCTTTCAGAGGGGTGGCATGTGAAATGTCAAATACCTGTAACATTTGCTAAAGACGTATTGCAAAGATTTTCCTTCTAGCTTCCAAGTAAAAAAAATTGGAAAAAGTTTGTGAATAGAGCAGTTATTCTTGTGGAAGATTTATCGTGTGTGTGTGTGTGTGTGTGTGTGTGTGTGTGTGTGTGTGTGTGTGTG